GCCCTCTGCAGCCTTCCCCTTCCCTCCCCCCCTCCATTACTGTCATATCGTTCTCTTTGAGCATATGGAAGCGGGGGGACACTTTAAAACACTGGCTTTAAAAGAAACATACCTGTAGTAATTTGCATACAGGTTTCACTTGCTTTATGTTGTACATGCGATCCTGGAAAACGGCACATAACTTGAATTCGCATAAAGGGAACCCACTTTACAATGTAACAAGTAGAGATACTTTCCAAGACCTTGACTGTACTGACCCCCAGACCCATTTCTACCACTTTTACAAGACAATTTTGGTACTCACCAACAGCACACAGTACACACGAGCAGAGGGCACTATCATAATGGGGATGGCAACTACAGAAACACATATTGCAGACAATAAGAGAGGAGCACAAATCCACACAGGAGACTATATTTTGGTGCACATCACTCGCACAATGCACTGCACAGAGCAGCTGACTGGGGGCTTCCACCACACTAATTGCATAAGAGTGAATTTACCTTGCATATTAACGAATTTTTGGTATAAAAAGGGTCATTGCATAAGAGCGAATTTGCACATAGAGAACCTGCATAAAGCGAGGGAAACCTGTATAAGTAAATTACTATGGGTACCCATAGACTTAGTTCATCCAGGATTGATGCATTTTTTTTTTTTAAACTGTTCCAAGCTTTAGCACAGGTTACTCCATAAACACACTTGTAAGCATCACTTTGGCACCTACTTAGATATAGTACAAACTAGGTATGATATTAATCCAAAGCCAAAAGTTTCATGATTTACCATACAGTTCATTGGGCTAGGCCAGGGGCGGGCAGTTATTTTGGGCAGAGGGCCACTTACTGAGTTTTGTCAAGCCATCGAGGGCCGCATGACAAGCAGCCAGGGGCAGATAAACATTAATTTTCTAAATTTTTTAGGGGCCCTGCGGGCTGGATAGAATGGCCTGGTGGGCCACATCTGGCCTGTGGGTCGTGTTTTGGCCACCCCTGGGCTGGGCCCTAGCAGAGTCAACAGTATTTCAAACGTTGGTGACTCCATAGCTCAGCACTGCTCAGTATGTGTTTTGTCTCCACCAGGAAAGATCCATGTGCTGGGTGTTCTTGTCCCAAGTCCTGGGATCCTCCAAAAATGTATATGTAGATGAAACATAGGGTAACTTGGTTTGGTTCCACTTCGTAGAGGGTGAGGCCACACTAATCATATGCACCAGGCTGACAGAGGTGGTAACAGAGGGATTTTTGGGGGGACTGTTTGGGGCCCTGTTTGGTAATGTTTGCCAGACATTTAAGGCTGGTGAAGGGTGTTGGGGGGTAGGAATGAGAGAACCTCATCTTGTATTGAAGTAAATATGGTAAATGGGTTTCAAATACTTTTATCCAGTTACAAGTATTTATAGTCTGTGTACTGTCTTAGGCTACCCACAAACTTTTTTGATGAACCAGAGCAAGCAGGTACAAAAGGACTGCTTTCAAAGGGTTCAGCTCCCACAGTACTGCCTGAAGATGATGATGATAATGGTGACGAAGAGAAGGAAGAACAAAAAGATGACGCTAGCAACTCTAGTGCACAAAAATCAGAAATTCTACCTCCAGCTCAAGAAGCAGTAGCTAACACTTTACCAGCAGGTAATTGAATTACACAACATAACATTTGGTAACAAAAATGTTGTTTGCTGATGTGTTACAAATTATGCCAGACCTTTTTTGATTTAATACAGCTAGCACTTGAATTAGTAGTTATGGGTATGTTCTGTTTGTTTCAGATATTTCTTGTCTAATTTTTCTTTCTTTAATAGCTTTTCTTCTTGATCTGTATAGAATTTGTTTAGATGATTATATGAGCTAAAGGTTCCCATGTAACAGACATTCTCAAAGTTTATATCAGACACTATTTTCTTAGCATGTCAGTCATTTTATATTGCATTTCTCCTTCATCATATTGAAATTTGTAGATGTAAAATATGTAATCATACACTTCATGCCAATTATTTGACCTATTCAAGAGGAGTACTGTCCGGCTAGATTTTTCTTGGTTAGTACCATCGTCCCTTACATTTCTCTGTAGTCAAACTTTTTGTGGAGATTTGAATAATAGTTTTCTGTGTCTTTTCTTTTAGACTTTTTTGACAACGGAACTGTATCTGCTCCTATAGTTTCCCATTCTGGGTCCATACAAAAACCAGAAGTACAAGAAAAAGCAGTGGAAAGGTAAATTAGTCCAATCAAATGTTATTACGTTGAGGAATGCAAACACTCTTTACTCTTCCAGGTAACACAGGCAACTTGATAACATAGGCATATCACATTCAAAACTGTTTTAAGGAAAACCTGTTTATTGGTTCTTGTGTAAGTGTTCATTTTCCTTTATAGCAGGATGTCAAACTCACCTTGCACCACTGGACTGCATCCAGATGGTGACATGCAGCAGTGGCAGCTCCAGCCTGGGGCACATAGCATAGTTCTGCCTCCCACTGTCCCCCCTATGCTGTGGCAGTGGCGATGGGCGAAGTGTCTGGAGGGCATGCAGGATTGTATCAGCCCTCACTCCCTCTCCTGTTTCTGATCACCATGTCCACCAAGGTCCAAAGACCCTTGATTCTGTAACAGGCCACTCTCCCTCGCTATGCTTCCTGACTTACAGTGGTTGGCCAGATAGAGTGGCTCTGCGGGCTGAGCCTGCCTGTAGGCCATATGTTTGACGCCTCTGTTTATAGTAAATTACCTTGTTGTAAACACTGGCTAAGGCTTTCAAAATAGGAATCTAAAGTAGTGGTAGAGCTGC